TGTCCTGGCGCGAATGTCTCGAGATATCCGAAAGTAATTGTCATTTCGACGGACGCAACGCGCCCCATTTTCGGAGGATCGCAAACACACAATACTTACTGAGGTCCAACTTTGCCTCGTGTGATTCGGAAGCTGCATTTTTTCTCTTCCTCTTTTCCTCCCTCTTTCCCTCCCTCTTTCCCTCCTCCTCCCTCCCTCCCTCCCTTCCTCCTTCCTGCAGCGTCCTTGATCGAAACATTCACACCAAAGACACAACTGAAAACACAGTTGGTTTCTCTCAGGGCACCCACTCACTGTAGGACCCAAATAACGGGGTACCTATCTTTTATACAATTCTGTTCGCAATTTGATGTAACATATCTGAAAATTTTTCGCGAAACTATGCATACTTTCCTTAAAAATAAATGTTTCATCAGGGGCTGTTTGGTAACACTTGAAGGCTCATACTATGTTTCTGCACGTAACAAACAAGCAGACCTCTTGTTTCCCGCAAAAAAAAAACTCGGTTCTTATCCGTTAAACCATCTATCTGTCCTTGTAAAAAAAATGAAATTCAGATAAAGAATTTATAAAAGCAATGTCCACTGAAAAAAGAGATTAGTAGAATTTACCATTCCCTCACGCTCCATTTCACATAGCTTCAATTCAGAGTCAATTCTGCCAGAAGAAAGGCAGACGTTACTATATGGTGCAGGTAACCATTCCTCTAGCAGAGTCGACTTTAAATTCACGCTGTGTGAAATATAGCGTGAAGGAATGGTAAATTCTATACCAATCTTTTTTTCAGTGTAGGATAGGGGGAGGGGGGATGAAAATGATGAAGAAACATCGTCTCAAAGAGTGTTGAGGTACGTCGTGTAAACTTGAACTAATACAAACCCTGTAAAGCACCGATTGGTAAACATTCTTCAGTCTCAAAATAAATCTATTGGCGGCAGCAACGCGTTTGTGCAAGTCGTTTTGCGACGCGCTGTTTCGTTCTCGAGATAGGCGGGGAGGAGGGTAAAGAGCGGATGAGGTTTCAGTTTTGTCGTCTATTTACTCGTTGAGCACCTCTTTAGAACTTCCAGTGCTTCTTCAGACTGTTGAATTAACTGCTCTCTTATACACGACGGCGCGGCGCTCGGGTTAAATTGGAGCTGGTGTCCAAATAGCTCTAGTAAAAGGCCGATGAAATCGGAGGCGTTAACGTAAAAGAACTTTTTACGCGCTGCAGACTTCCAGTGATTTTTTTTCCACAAAACTCCCACAATTATACAGGCAGTGTGGAAAAATTTGAAAGAAAATGAGAAATTTCACTTGAACTCGATTGCGTTTCCGTGGCCGTATCAGGGCAAACGATCGTCAGCTTGAAGTTTTTCATTAAAATGAAGGGGCATTTTACATGATTTCGTTTTCTAACGTTTTTAGGATTTGACTCCTTCAAGTCTATCAAATCTAACAAATTTTCTAAATCAATGTACTTTATCCAAGTGGTTAAAAGTTTTAGGTTTGATTGACTTTTTTCGCAACTTCAGGCAAACTGAACTAGGACACAACTTTTATTTATTAGCTCATCTGTACACACCAGACAGAGTTTGAAATAAAACTCGGCAGCAAAACGGCAAAATTCATCTTAATTGTACAAAAACGAGACATTTGAGAAAGCTGTAAGTAAAAAATGACGTAGTTTCAGGCAAAACAGCAGTAAGTGACATTATTCCTCCAGTGAGCCAATGAAAACAGTGCTTTCAAGTATAGTGCCGCCTTCTTCCGCCAATTTCTAACCTGAAAATGTGCTTGTTGTGTGTCCAAAGCGCAACTACGAAAGCATGCAGAAGACAGCACTTACGGCTGTCTTGTCTAACAAGAGCCTAACATAAAAATGAAAAATACCCTTTTTATGTAATTGAGGACACCGCACCAAGAACAGCCTATAACTGGAAACCGCGTTTTGAGAAAAACGTATTTAAAGTTTTGTTTTTGATGTATTGCGCAGACTTTTCTATGCAGGTACCCTGTTTTGGTGTTTTGGTGACCTAACCCTTCTATTGAAGGATGCCGGGTAGATTTTGCCATACATTTTGGGTTTACACTCTAATATATTTAATTTTAAAAAAAAACGGTTTATAGGCCATCAGTACGCCCAACAATCATCTAGGTGGCAATATGAAGTATAAATCATTTTAATCACGCATGATTAACGGAAAATGAAAGAATATCGATAGTGGGTAAAGAAAGGGGTAACTAGCACCTTAGGTCCTTAAGTTTTATGCCCGTTTATAGGTCGTTCTTGCACCCATCGATCCAGAGGCCTGACTTAACTCGAAAAAAAAAAAATGTTTTTCCACCTCGAGCCGACCTATCTATATTCTATCGCTACCACAGCATAGTCCAGGGTAAGTAGAATCCGAAAAGCAGATGGGCGTAATAACGACCTATACGCCTATAGGCTGTTCTTGGTGCGGTGTCCTTAATTGAAATAAAATCGGTCAATTTTTAATCATTCTAGCGATTTCTAAGAAATTTTTGAACGATTAGTGGCAATTTGACAATAAAGGACGGAGGCTTCTCTCGATAAAATGTTCCGCTTAGGCGCTTCTGAGCTCGTTTTCTTAAAACTTTTTTGTGGCACTTACTGCTCAATTAGACGTATTTCTGTCAAACGGAAGTATGTGCATTATAACGTGAGCCCTGTTATGCATGTATTCTTATGGGTCTCAGGGCTCATGTCTTAATGCACATAGTTCCGTTTGATAGAAATACGTCCAATTGGCTATCACAGCAGTAGTCTGGGATGCACGTTGGTGACGGCGCAGAGATACAACTATTCGTACTTGATGGATGTCCGTGTAGCATCTGCAAAATTGAAGGCGCGATGGAACGCCGCGTGAAATCGCAATGCTTCGTCGTACACTGCCAGTAGGGTGTCGCTCAGATGTCGCTCTTTTCGCTATCACGGCAGTTTAGCTTTCGATTTCAGCAGTGCGTTTTTCTCTTTCGGTTTGCAACCTTGGTGATCTGGTTAAAAAATTCGACCGAATCCACTCGCGTAAATTTGCTTAAATTAGTTTTATTTATTTTGTCCTGAGCACGGAGAAGAAAACTTCGTGCATGGGACTCGAAGTTGACGTCATATAGATCTCTGAAGTTTTCTGGTCACGCATCCGAAAAATTGAGGTCAAGCTGCCGAAGTTCGGGTCAGACATCGAGGCACTTCGGTATGTACCGGAGTACTTCTTCAGATGTGTGACCCGAACCCTTCAGTGAATATCGAAGTACTTCAAATGTCTGACCCGAACTTCGGCAGCTGGACCTCAAGTTTTTAGATACATGATCCGAAAACTTCAGAGATCCATATGACGTCAACTTCGGGCCCCACGCACGAAGTTTTTTTCTCCGTGCGATCTGGTTGAAAAGGTCGACCAAATCAAGTCGCAAAAGTTTGCCGAAATGGGCCAGTTGCGCTTGGTAATAGAATCATGTTTTGATACTTAATTATTGTGGAGTAACTGAAAATAATTAGATTCGTCCATGAAGCGACTTTCTACGTTGAATATCAACTCATCCTTTGAAAAGTCGGGTTTTTGACGTCGTCCATCGCGGGAGTGCATAGCATGGTATGTGCACCCGCGGTGGATGACGTCATAACTCAAGCTTTTCAGGGCGAGATATTTTGGTTAATATTCAACGTAGAGAGTCGCTGTTTGGACATATCTTATCAATTTTAGTTGATCTGCAAGAGTAAAGCATCAAAATACGATTCTGTGACCAGCGCAGAGACAAGAGACCCTCCACTAGTATCTTGGCCGTATGGCCGTTGTGGAAGCTTATACTTTCGGGACTTTAGCACTCTACTGTTGACTTACCTACTTGTTTGATGTTCAACAACGTGTTGGCAGTTTCGTTTTGCAAACACGCCGAAAATGGCCGACGTTTGGGAAACTTGTTTGGCTCATGACGTCATCCGAAGCTCATCATCGACCATGCAGGTAAGTCAACAGCCGAAATTAGGATGATGACTGTTGCTCCCTTATAATTGTCCATGAGGAATTGTGGAAACCCCGAAAGTAAAAGCTTCCACCTGTCGCTAGGAGGCCAGTGGAGGGTCTCTTGTTTCTAAACCAGCGCAACTGGCCCATTCTTTTAATTGGACGTATTTCTATCAAACGGACCTAAGCGCCATAGGGTGAGGAAGGTAGAGGGGGTCTTGGATTGGCGGCGGAATCGGGCGTCCGGCTTATTCCGTCCTATACTCGCAATGCTTTTCCATGGCGCTTAGTTCCGTTTGACAGAACGCGCTGACCGGCATTCTAAATTCCTCAAAAGGAACTCAAATTGGCGCTTAGTTCCGTTTGATAGAAATACGTCCAATTTTAGTTGATCTGCAAGTGTCTAGCATCAAAACACGATTCTGTGACCAGCGCAACTGGCCCATTCTTTTAATTTTGGATGTCCCAAGGATTAGACTCATGCACTGGAAAAAAAACCTCGGTTTACTTACTAACAAAAGGGTAAAATCACCAAGAATTCAGGGTTCTATTTGATCCCAGTTTTTTTCTTGGTAAAATTACCGTTTATGGGATTGGTAATTTTACCGAGAAATCTAGGTAAAATTATTGAACTTTCTCGGTAATTTTACTGGACCTTGGTAAAAACGCCAATATTTTTTATCGACTGTGGTAGAATCACCGAGATAAAATGGCAAAGTTACCGGGAATTGATTACAAATAAAACTGGTATTCTTACCTGGGAAAAACAGTAAAAATACCGGTTTTTAGGTAAGCTCACTAGTCTGTCTTGGTAAAATTACCAATAATTGGTAAAAAAGTGAGATGGTAACGGTACCAACGGACCTTGGTAAAAACGCCGCGAATTTTTTTTCAGTGTGCAAGAGTAAAGTATCAAAACACGATTCTGTGACTAGCGCAACTGGCCCATTCTTTTAATTTTGGATGTCCCAAGGATTAGACTCATGATACCTACATGTATAACAGGAACCTGTATTTTCATTGTTTCAGATGTACGGTGGCCTGACAGCCTCCTTGCAGTTCGTGGTGCCGTTCTGCGTGATCGCGTTCTGCTACGTGAAGGTCTCGGTGAAGCTGAACGACCGGGCGCGCTCGAAGCCGGGGGCGAAGAACACGCGGAAGGAGGAGCTGGACCGGGAGCGGAAGCGGCGGACGAACCGGATGTTGATCGCCATGGTCACCATCTTCGGGGTCTCGTGGCTCCCGCTCAACCTCATCAACCTCATCAACGACATCCACATCCCGACCGGCTCCTGGCGCTTCTACTACGTCAGCTTCTTCACCTGCCACGCCGTCGCCATGAGCTCCACCTGCTACAACCCCTTCCTCTACGCCTGGCTCAACGATAACTTCCGCAAGGAGTTCAAACAGGTAATACTCTTTGCAGCAGATCTTGTTTCCAGTTCTTAGGAGATTGCTTTTATCTCATCGGCAGGTTGAGGTTTCATTCTGCTGCCTATGAATCGATTAATGGCTGAAATAAAATTATTTTAGTTCATTTCTCTGTATGTAAAACGTAAATGGTGTCTCAAGGTTTTGCTATAACAACGCTTTAAAAATGAAGTTTTCATGTCTTAAGATGATAGTAAACTTTTGCATGGAAAACTAGATGGCCACGCCGTCGCCATGAGCTCCACCTGCTACAACCCCTTCCTCTACGCCTGGCTCAACGATAACTTCCGCAAGGAGTTCAAACAGGTAACACTCGCCTTTTTGCCCGTTGATTCGATGGACTGATTTAGTGGCTGTGCCATGGTTCAAATATACTGATTTAGTGATGATTTAGTTGGGTTTTACTGATTCGCGCCATGGTGGTAAAATGCGTACAAGTGTTTCTTGCCAGGGTGCACTGGGAAAAGAAACCTCTTGGTTCAACAGTGCAGTTTCGTGTCGCCGGATTTAAGAGTCTGGACTCTAGTTTCAATGGAAAATCCGCTTGAAACAAGAGTTCAAGACTCTTAAATCCGGTGACAAGAAACTGCACTCTTAAGTCAATGTTCCGCAGCATTGGTCCAAGAGGTTTTTTTTTTACCAGTGTGTCTACAAGTCCGGAAATAGTACTGATTTTTCAAGCGCGGTCCGGAAGTACTGAAGAAGTGCGGAAATTCCGCAAGAATGTTCGGAATTTTTTTCATTTTTTTGTCATCTTTGCCGCAATTTGAGTGAAAAATTCGAATTTTTGAAATTTTTCGAATTTCGTCGAGTGGAGGTACTGAAAAAGTACTGAATTTTTCTGTTGAGGAGGTACTGAATTTCTCGGGAATGTACTGGAAAAGTGCTGCAAAAGTACTGATTTTTGGCCAGCCTGGTCTTAGTAGACACCCTGGTAAAACGTTAGTGTTGTTTTTAGGTTTTGCTATAACGACGCTTTAAAAATGAAGTTTTCATGTCTTAAGATGGTAGTAAAATTTTGCATGGAAAACTAGTTGCATCGATTACTTGTCAGTTGAATCTAATACTGATTTGTCTCCCTGACATATTTTTCCCGCAAGAATATAGTCAAATGACTCCATGCTTCATATGAAGACACTATAAGATCTTCAAAAATTTCCATTTAAGAGCGACGACGCTCATATTTTCAGGGAATGGCCCTTTTTACATTGATGGGCATCACAAGAATAGTTACACCTTAAAAACGAAAATATAACAGGATGTTTTAAACTGTAATTGATACGCCATATCGTCACTCCTCTCCATATCGCCGCCTCTCTGACGTAAGAGTGTATCTTAATTTCCACGCGAGTCCTGTTTCCCATATGACTCTATGTATTCTGGGGTTATGTGGTAATTGAGATTTGCCCTTACGTCAGAGGAGCAATAATGGACCACTAGATAAGGTACGAATTCGAACATTCTGATACATGTTTCTTAACCAAAATGTCACGTAAAACACGATTTTGTGCGACAAAAATTACTGAAATGAACTACCAACCAAGATATTTACTGTTTTTTGGCGCGTGAATTGAAACTTTCCGCTCATGAAAACACAATGGTCAACGAGCGTCAAATCGCGCACTAAACTTTACCATGACAATCTCTGTGATATGAAAATCTGGCAACCTCGATCTTGACGCTTCGGGTCAGCTACAGCAAATTGCAACTTTGAACGATAAAGGGTGGGAAAGGAACAATGTTCGATTGAGAAGCCTACCATACTGTTGTGAGGCGCGGTTTGACTTACGTTTCTTACGTTTTTGCGTTTCTTGTGACCGGAAAATCCAAAATTCCCGTAACGAATGTAAAATAAAAACGTTAATATCTTAGTTAGAAGTTGATTTCAGTAAGATTCGCTGTAAGAATCGTGTTCTACGTGAAATTCTAAGGCTAAAATATGTATCAGAATGCTTAAATTTGTACCTTGTCTAGTGGTCCATAGAGATTCGCCCTTACGCCCAAGGAGCGACGATATTGCACGTTGGTTGGACCACGATTGGAGCAGTGGCGTGGCGTGCTTTGCGATATATCGATTGTTCTGCCATTTAAACCTATGGTAAAGAATCGATAAACAGGGTGTTCGCAGCGAACACCTTAATAATCGATTCTTTACCATAGGTTTAAATGGCAGAACAATCGATATATCGCAAAGCACGCCACGCCACTGGATTGGAGTCCGGGACGAGTTACTTTAAAGAACAGTTATGAATAGGGTCCTCGCTGGGAACGACGCGCACTTTATCACTTTGCTAAATGAGGCGAACTGTGTGCAACAGGTGCTGCCGTGCTTCAACACGTCGATGCACGTGAGCCTCGGCGGGTGGCGCTCCGAGAGGACGTGCAACGGGAACAACGAAACCTGCCAAGAGACGCTCCTCCCCACCAGCGTCGTCATCTCCAGCCAGCCCAACACCAAGTCTCACCAGTCATCCATAATCAACGTAAGTCATCTTCACCACAAATCAAATTTTACTCCCCTGTCGGACACGCCTTTTAGGCGAATTTCTAAAAGTGGATTTGGTCGAGTTTTTCGACCAGATCGCACAGAAAAAATGGATTGCATTTTGCAAAAAGGAACCAGAATCAATCCAAAGTTGCTATAATTGGATTGCATTTTGCAAAAAGGAACCACTAGCATTGCAATGATGCTAACATCGTGCAACTTCATCTTTTGCAATAAAATTGCGGAAATCGTGAAAAACTATGAAATTTAGTTGGTAATTTTTTTCTTAAATTTACAGTTTTTAGCGAGTAAAATAGAAACTATTAATGGATAATCGGGGTTTTCCTCCAAAACAAAAGAAGTTGTACAATCTTAGCAACATTGCAATGCTAGTGGTTCCATTTTGCAAAATGCAATCCAAGTCATCTTCGCCGCAAAGCAAATTTTAAAAGAACAACTTAATTTGGGGAAAAGGCTGCAAATAAAGAACAAAGAATAAACAAAACCCGAAACGTTTCAAAATAGTTACAATTTCATTTTCAACCGGAAAATAAATTAAAAATAAAAACGAGCCGTCGCTACGCTGTTATTGCGAGACCGAGACTCAGTAGTCTCTGAGTAGTAGTAGTCTCTCAGTAGTCTTGAGTCTCGGTCTCGCAATAACAGCGTAGCGACGGCTCGTTTTTATTTTTAATTTATTTTCCGGTTGAAAATGAAATTGTAACTATTTTGAAACGTTCCGCGTTTTGTTCATTCTTTGTTCTATATTTGCAGCCTTCTCCCCAAATTAAGTTGTTCTTTTATTATGTGTATTCTGGCTGATTAAGTTGTTTCTCATTCTGTAAAGCAAATTTTATTTCCTTGTCACCAAGTCCCTTGTCGCGTTCGGTCAAACTGACCCGCATTGATTTTGATAGTTTTAAAGTATGATCTATGTTATTTCTATACTTTTGAAGATTAGGAATACTTTTTATAGAATTTTCACCTTTTTGGTAACATGTACTAGCGCTTTCTCACCTCCCTCCCTTCTCATCATTCGCCGTATGTAATTCCCGCCGAAGAGATATTTGAGTCACTTTGACCCGGCCTAGGACATCTGAGAGTAGTTGTCAAAAGAAATTCTCTGACTACACAACTCTCGGCCTGCGTTTTTTAGACCTGCGTTCCTCAGAGCGCTTAAGAGACATTAAACTTTTTTTTTTGTCAAAATTATTATGGATTTGGATTTTGGACAAATCATAGCATATTTTGAGCAAACTGAACTATAAATTTTCTCAAATCAAAAAACAAGAGACTTCAACATGCGTTTTTGACAGCGCAAAGTTACAACTATTCTTGCTTCATGGATGCCCATGTTGCTTAAGAAAAATAAAAATCGCGATGGGGTGAGGTGTGAACTCACAATGCCTCGTTTTATACTGCCGATGAGGGGAGATTTGGGGAAAAAAGGTAGAGAACTAATCCCGATACGTAGTCCTAGGAACACCATTACAACCAAGACAAACGGAAACGAACACATTGTGGAAATATAGCCAGGAAAAGGACTCGCGTTGACGACGGCGCAGAGAAGCAACTATTCGTACTTGACGGATGGCCATGTTGCGTCTGCAAAATTGAAGGCGCTATGGCGCGATGCGTGAACTCCCAATGCTCCGCTCTGTGCTGCTAATGAGGTACCGCTGCTCAGATTATGGAGAAAATGAAACCGGATTACGTCTTCCGTGTCAACGCTGCCGAGCTAAGGAAAAACGCCCCATGAACATTCGGGAGTTGCCAAATGTTCCCGAATAAAAACTGTGTTTATGAGATCCAGGTATTCATATTTTCCTTTCAAATTTGCATATGTTCTAAATTGAATTGCAAACAAAATTATATAAAAAAAATTCTAAGAAAAATATTCAAAATTTCCCCAGTGTGCCCGGTTTTCTAAGGGAATCTGGCGACGTTTAAAGGCTCATGCGGCGCTTTTCCTCAGCTGGACAGTACGGTTGTGATGCTCTTGAAGCTCCACCACAAAAATAAGACAAACTGAAAGAAACACAGAACAAATGAGAATTTTTTTCACTCTTCAGTACAACAATGCATGCTCGTGGTCAAAATTGAAACGCACATATTTCGGCAACACCACCTGCGCATTTCTCTCTCTCCCGCCGATAAAATAATAGGTGAGCGAAGGTCGGGTTAAAAAAATCGGCACACAGCTCGGTGATACCACTACCGGTGTTCATTTCAATTTGGTCGGGTCGCTGTCTTTTTCGCGGGCCGTCTAGCACTCTAGCAGGGCCGCGGTTGTCCGATTGAAAGGTGGAACTCCATAAAAACCGCAGGCCTCCTAAACGCCTGGGCCGCGGAATCCGATTCAATGTGCGAGACCCAGGGCTCAAGAGATGTCGGAACTCGATCGGTATTCACTCCCACCCTTCAATTATTGATGCGGGGTTGCGTGATGACGATTAATACTGCTTCCGGAGAGGAAAACAATGCAAAAGCCCGGAACAATGGAGCTCCTGCGAGACAACGTTGCCGGTTTTGCGGAAATTCCTTCTAAAAGTCTGTTGCACACAAGAGACACAGCACTGGAAAAAACACATTGGATCTAGAGTCCAGACTCTTGAAAACATTGATAAGAAAAAATACTCTTGATTCAATCGGATTTTTGCCTGAATAAAAACGGAATCCACTTAAATTAAGAGGCTTGGTTCTTGATTTAAGCTAGATTCTGATTGAATCAAGAGTACTTTTTTTTGTCGATGTTTTTAAGAGTCTGGGCTCTAGATTCAATGTGTTTTTCGAGGTGTTTTCAATGTCACGTGTTTTCAATGTGTTTGTCGAAGGACTCTACCTCTGACTAGAGTCCCTTTATACTGAGAGTCAAGACAGCACCCCCACATGGAGTCACAAACGGGAATAAAGATTACACAAATTGAACGTTTTTCATAATCTTTGGTCGGCCCATTCTCAAATTCCTTTCTCCGTTCCCTCTCTCCTTCCGTTAGTTCCTTGCCGAACCCGTAATTCCCTGGTTCATTCCAGATTATAATCTTTGCAATCGGTGAAAATGTAATCTTTATTCCCGTTTGTGACACTGTGAAGGCCTAAAATACGGGAACCAATCAGAAATGGATTCACATTGTCTTGATTCTTAGTATAAAGGGACTCTACCTCTGACTATATCTCTTTGAGCAACAGACCCATCTGTGTGGAATCCCACGAATATTCCTTGGAATCTCGGCAACGGCGCTGCTCAGCGCACTCCGTGTCAATCTGGCGGAAACATCCCGACAGTCATAATAATGTTACGCTAGTTTTGTTCGCGGGAAACGTGTCCATCATCCCGGCGATAACTTCGCTTTTGTTCAAACCGCTGCGCGTCATGTTCGACAGTCGTTAATAAAACTCCGAAATTTGCAGTTTCTACTCAGCTTCAACCTGGTTTCAAGATAGGAAGAGGGGTGGAATGAGAAGCTTTGGTCATCTCTCGAATGGAAAACGCGATCATTGTAGGGAAGTGTGAGTGGAGGAGTTGGCATGCTGTGATCGATTTTTTGTAAGTTCATCGGTACCTATCAGAAATGATTCGTTGTAAAAAACGGTGCACCCAAGATGTCAACGGTGGAAGTTCAGGCACCTCGCCAGGAGGAGGGGGGCTGGGGGGGCTTAGCGGGTCTTTTTCATGGGCGTACTATTCCGAAATTAAAGGCGTTTTCAAAAGTGCAAAGTCCCTATTATTTTGTTTTATTTCTTACCACTCGTTTGTTAAAATCCTCCTATAAAAACTACCCATTTGCAAAATACAATTCTAGCTGGAACGCACTTTAGCTATGCATTCACGACTGCAAAAATGTCAAAGGAAATCGACAAGCCCAGCTTGCATGAAGGCGATTTCAATTTTGATCTTCCGTCGCATTCTTACAGTCAAATGATACAACTATTTGAACTCTCCGGAATGCGTGCGGTGTCACACCGCAATTGAAGGCGTTTTCAAAACAGCCAAGTTCCGATACCCGGCTTATCGTTTTGCAAAGTTCCGATTATTATGTTTTATTTCTTACCGTTTGTTTGTTTTCAATCCTCCTATAAAAACTACTCATTTGCTGATTACACTTCCGGCTGGAGCGTATTTTAGCTATTCATTCACGACTCTTAAAATGTGAAAGGAAATCGACAAGGCCAGCGTGTATGAAGGCTATTTCAATGCATTTCTAAGGCGCAATGATACAACTATTTGAACTCTCAGGAATGCGTGAGGTATCACGCTGTATTTGAAGGCGTTTTCAAAACAGCCAGGTTCCGATACCCGGATTATCCTTTTGCATAGTTCATGTCCTTTTGTTTTATCCCGCAACACTTGTTTATTTTTATTCATCGTATAAAAACCAGCCATTTGCTAAATACAATCCTAGCTGGAGCGCACTTCAGCGATGCATTCGCCACTACAAAAATGTCAAAGGAAATCGACAAGCCCAGCGTGCATGAAGGCTATTTCAATGGTAATATTCCGTCACATTCTTACGGCGCAATAATACAACTATTTGAACTCTCCGGAATGCGGGAGGTATCACGCCGCATTTGAAGGCGTTTTCAAAACAGCCAGGTCCCGATACCCGGATTATCGTTTTGCATAGTTCATTTTCTTTTGTTTTATCCCGTACCACTTGTTTATTTTTAATCCTCGTATAAAAACCACCCATTTGCTGAATACACTTCTGGCTGGAGCGCACTTAAGCTATGCATTCACGACTGCAAAAATGTCAAAGGAAATCGACAAGCCCCGTCCCGTCGGGATATAAAAGATACAAAAATTTTCCGGGGGGGGGGCGGCCTCCCTTCGGACCTCCTCTCTTTCCGGGGGGGTCTACCNCCCTCCCACCCCTCACGATGTGTCGTCGCGGCCTAACTTTTTTCAAGCCAGTCCGAGCCTGCGTACTAAGAGGGTGGGGGGCTTTCTCCCCCTAGAATGGAAAATAGTATCATCTGCCCCCTCTTCCCAGACATTTT